AAAAAAAAAAAAAAGTAACCATTTGGCTGATAAGGTGGGCATGTAAATGAACTGCTCTACTCAGAGGTATAAGTGCAATGTTAAAAATATCAGCCCAGTGCTGTGGAAGTACAGAGGGATTAGTAAATTCTGCCTGCAGTGAAGTGTGGAATCTTGAAAGGCTTCAAGAGATGGCAATACTTGGTTTGGACCTTGAAGAATGAAGAGGAGTATACCAGACAAAGAGAATGGATAAAGCATTCAAACACAGGGAATAGAAAAGACAAAGCAGAGATGTACATGATAAGCTTAAGGAAAAAGAAATATTCCCAGGTGGTAACACTGTGAGAGATCCATGTATAAGATGAAACTGGAGCGAACCAGCTTGTAAAGCGCCCTGTAATTCAGGCTAGGAATTCTAAATCTTTTCTTAGGGGAAGATATCAAAAGTTTGGCAAGATGTAACCTTAGCAGACCATATTTTAGAAAAATTAGTTAGGGAGCAGTGTTGAGACTGATTTGAAAGAAGAGACTGAAGGCAGGAAGAAATGTCAGAAAACTATCAAAACGTTTACTGATAACAGGGAGAACTTGTGGTTAACCACCAGCATTATCTCTTTCCCTCCTAAAGTTCCACTAATATCAGAGGAAAGTAAGGGAAAAAAAGAATAAAGCCACTAAAACAAAGAGAATGGGAGAGGAGTAATTTCAATAAAATTTTGGAAGTTAACAGGCAGGGGAGGGATGGTACCTGATGAGCAAAACCAGGGAAGCTCTCACCAGAGTGCTCTGAAGGGGATCCTAATGAGAAGAGCTCAATCCTGCTCCCAGAACACTAGCACACAGGTAAATGCCCCCTTCTACCCCAAAACCAGGGTAAGACTCATCAGGCACACAGAGCTTCCAGGCAGAGCCTTATTCTTAAATAGGCACCGACAGCCAAGGATCACCCAACCTTTGAATAAAGCCTCCAAATTTAGAGGGACCAACATAAAGAAATAGAATGAAAGGATCTCTGAGAAAATAGGGGTAACACAAGGAACCAAAGTAAATATCAAAACATCAGTGTCTCAAGGGAGATTGAAAAAAGATATTACACCCAAAAAATAAGACTAGGATAACATAAAACAAGTATAAGATAATAGAAACAAAGAACAATCAGAGAATAAGAGTTTTTAGAAATTAGAAATATGATAGTATTAATAGAAATGGAAGACCTACAAGATAAAACTGAGAAAATTGCTCAGGGCCGGCCGAGTGGCGCGTCAGTTAAGTTGGCTTGGGATGCCAACTCTGAGCAGCAGGGCCGCGGTTTGGATGCCACATGAGGGCCAGTGACGCTGTGCCCCCTACAGCTAAGATGGTGAACAACAGCTCAACCTGGAGCTGGGCTGCCGTGAGACGCAGGCTATGGCGTAGGCTGCAGTGAAGCTGCAGTGGGCTGCCGTGAGCTGCCATGAGCCACCGTGAGTGGCTGGCAGCTGTTGTGAGCAGCCGTTCAGTGGCCGGCAACCGATCTGCCTCACCTGGGAAGAGCACAATGATAATAACCAACATGGGCCAGTAAAGCGACGTCCTCCACAACTAGACTGAAAAACAAAAGGACAGCAACTTGTCTACTCCCCTTCCCCGATTCCCCAATAAAATCTTCAAAAAAAATGAAAGAAAATTGCTCAAAAAATAGACAAAAAAGGAAGGAAGATTATAAAATCTGTAGAGTGGAAAGAGATAAAGGAGGGAAAGAAATTATTAAAGGAATAATAGAAGACTTTTCTAGAACTGAAGGACACAGTTCTCAAGATTGAAAGAGTCCGCATCTAATATCCAGCTCATTGATTATAAAAAAGTCTGTTCAGGCATTTTGCTGTAAAATTTCAGAATTTCAGAATATTAGAAATTTTAGAATACTGGAGATAAAGAGAAGATATTTCAGAGAGAAAAGATAGATCATATACAAAGGAACAGAATTCAAAGTGATTTTGGAGCAAGAATAGAAAACAATAGAGAAATATCTTCAAATTCTGAGAGAAATAATTTTCGATCTAGCTAGCCAAATTATCCGTAAAGGATGAAGGCAGAAAAAAGATGTTTCATACCCACAAAGATGCAGAAAATGTACCTCTAATGCATACTTTCTTAGGAAACTACAAGAAGATGATTCAAATAAACAACAAACTAAAACAAGAAGGCAATAAATCACACACACACACACACACACACACACACACACACACACACACACACAAACCAAAAACCAAAAACCAAAACATAGGTCCCAAGAGAGGATGGATCTAACACCAGAAAACAGCAAACATAAGTTCTAGGATGACAACAAATGCAAACCCTAGCTAGGATGATAGCTACAGGAAGCCTAAAGAGCAATGAACTGTCCTGATGGGAGCAGGATACAGTAATATGGGAGGGAAGTCTCCAGGGAAAAAAGTTGAATGAAGTATCTGACACTTCATTTGAAAAATGTAAACACTGAATACTGATTTAACCAAAAACTATGACATAACAATATTGGGAGGGAGAGGAAGGAAAGATATTATTGAGTTAAATCCTAATCAGGAATCAAAAGATAATCTATAAACTTATAAATCAGATTTCTTTGAACATGGTGGCAGACCCAGTGATTTTGATGCACTTTCCTATAAACCAGATTTATTCTCCATAATAACAATGTTGAAAGGGCCTATAAGTGGGCCTGTAGGTGGGCCTGATAGTAGCTGTTCCTATATGGGTGTCTTCCTATATCCACAAATTCCTTGTTGTTCCTCCTATCAAAATTGGAATCAAATTCCTCTTCTGCTAAATATGGGCTAGACACAGGGACTTTTAACAACAGAATGAACAGTAGTGCTGCTACAGTACTTTTATTTTTAACAGCTTCGTTGAGATGTAACTCACATACCATACAATTCACCCACTTAGACTATACAATTCAATGTTTTGGGTATATTACATTACCACTTGTTAAAAACTATGGCAAAATATATAACATGTCATTTTACCTATTTTAAGTGTGCAATTCAGTGGCATTAATTACATTCACAATGTATTACAAGCATCACCACTAGCTATTTCCAAATCTTTTACATCACCCCAAGCTCTGTAACTATTAAGCAATAACTTTCCATTACCTTTCTCATTCTCCAGCCCCTGGTAACCATTAATCTACTTTCAGTCTCTATGAATTTGTTTTTTGTAAGTAGTTATTTTTTCTTTTGTTGCTCATGATTTTGATGTCATATCTTAGAATCTATTGCCAAATCCAAAGTAATGAAGATTTACCTGCTTCCTTTTTTTTTTTAGATTTTATTGGGGAATTGGGGGAGGGAAACAGCGTTGGGGAATCAGGGAAGGGGAACAGACAAGTTGCTGTTCTTTTGTTCTTCAGTCTAGTTGTGGAGGACATCACTTCACTGGCCCATGTTGGTATTATCATTGCACTTTTTCCAGGTGAGGCAGTCGCTCGTCGGCCATTGGACAGCTGCTTATGGCAGCTCACAGCAGCTCACACTGGCTGCCTGCCGCTCACGCTGGCTGCCAGCCACTCATGGTAGCTCATGGCAGCCCACTGCAGCAGGGGCTGCAGCTTACGCCATCGCCTGCAACTCAAGGCAGCCCAGCTCCAGGTTGAGCTGTTGTTCACCATCTTAGCTGTAGAGGGTGCAGTGTCACTGGCCTCATGTGGGATCCGAACCAGGGCCCTGCTGCTCAGAGCTGGCGTCCCAAGCCAACTCTTAACCAACGTGCCACTCGGCCGGCCCCCTGCTTTCTTTTTTAATGGCTCTAGCTCTCATGGCAATCAATTTTGAGTCATTTTTTTGCATATATTATGAGGTAGGGTTTCATTCTTCTGCACATAAATATCCGATTGTCCAAGTACCATGTGTTTAAGAGACCAGTCTTTCCCATCGAATGGTCTTAAACCTTTGTTGAAAGCCATTGGCCAGAGATGTATGGGTTTACTTCTAGCCTTTCAATCCTATCCCACTGGTCTATATGTGTCTCCTTACACCAGTACCACACTTATTTGGATTATTTTAACTAAGTAGTAAGTTTTACAATTGGGAAGTATGAGTCCTCCAACTTTTTTTTTTTTTTTTTTTAAGGATTGTTTGGCTATTCAGGGCCCTTTGCAATTCCATATGTCTTTGAAGATCAGTTTTCCCATTTCTTCAAAAATGCCCATTGGAGGGCCAGCCGAGTGGCACGTTGGTTAGGAGTTGGCTTGGGACGCCAGTTCTGAGCAGCAGGGCCCCGGTTCAGATCCCACATGAGGGCCAGTGATGCTGCGCCCTCCATAGCTAAGATGGTGAACAACAGCTCAACCTGGAGCTGGGCTGCTGTGAGTCGCTGGTGTCAGCTTAGGCTGCAGTGAGGCTGGCCGGCAGCTGGTGTGAGCTGACGTGAGCCACAGTGAGTGGCTGTCCAATGGCTGGTGAGCGTCTGCCTCACCCAGGAAGAGTGCAATGAAATACCAACATGGGTCAGTGAAGTGACGTCCTCAACTAGACTGAAGAACAAAAAAGACAGCAATTTCTGTTCCCCTTCCCTGATTCCCCAACGCTGTTCCCATCCCCCAGTTCCCCAATAAAATCTTTAAAAAAAAAAAAAGGCCATTGGAATTTTGGAAGGGATTGCCGTCAATCTGTAGATTGTTTCAGTAGCATTGCCATCTTAACAATATTAAGTTTTCCAATCTATGAACATTGGGCATCTTTCCATTTATTTGGGCCTTCTTTAATTTCTTTCAGGAATATTTTGTAGTTTTCAGTGTGCAAGTCTTTCACCTCCTTTTTTAAATTTATTCCTATTTTACTTTATTCTTTTAGATGTTATTGTAAATAAAAGTATTTTCTCAATTTCTTTTTTAGATTGTTCATTGCTCTTGTATAAAAACAAAACTGATTTTGTGTACATGCCTGACCACTGCAGTGTACACCTGAAGCTGAATAATAATGAATGCCAACTATAATTTTGTATATATGGTAACAGAATGTGGAGTACAGCATGGGGAATAGACTCAGTGGAAGTGTAACAGCTATACATGATGTCAGGGGGGTAGTAGATTGGGAGAGGGGGGTTATCACTTTGTGAGGGGTGTAAATGTCTAACTATTACATTGTTTTGTATGCCTGAAACTAATAAAAAAAATCAGGCTACATAAAGGTAAAAACAAACAAACAAAAAAACCCTTATTTTGTGTGCTGATCATGTACCCTGCAACTTTGATAAATTTGTTTATTAGCTTTAGTTTTTTTTGTGTGTGGATTCTTTGGGATTTTCTAACATATAGGATCACATTATCTGTGAATAATTTTACTTCTTCATTTCCAATGTGGATACCTTTTATTTCTTTTTCTAGCCTAATTGCTTCCAGTACTGTTGAATAGCAGTGGTGAAATGGGCAGCCTTGTCTTGTTTCTGACCTTAGGGGCAAGCTTGCAGTCTTTCACCATTGAGTATGATGTCAGCGGTGGATTTTTCATAAATGCCTTTTATTATGTTGAGGAAGTATCCTTTATTTCTAGTCTTCTGAGTATTTTTATCATGAAATTGTGTTGGATTTTGTCAAATGCTTTTTCTGCACCAGTTGAGATGATCTTTCATATATTTTGAAGATAGATGCGTTAGTACTAAAGCCAGTGGTATGTATTAATGAGCTAAGAGAACACAGGAAATCTTGGTATATTGGTCATCTGAAATAAAGGTAGAGAAAGCCCAGGGGTTAAAGGCTCCAAGGGAGGCAGATGGCGTGTATTAAAGATGAGAGATAGAAAATTTTAGCTCCAGTGCAACATGTAACGAAGCTGAATGGGATGAGGGTTGGAAGGGAAAATGCTTGCTTCTTAAAAAGCTTGGGTAAGTTGTTTATAAATTCTACATGGTATGCAACAAATATTAACTTACAGTGATGATACATGGGATAGAGGAGATATAATGGTACAAAAAATTGGCACTTCCACATGCAAGTACCTGTAAGGGATGAGTACTGCTTGAAGACGTCACAAGGTGTAGGTCCTATCAGCAGAAAAACGTCAATGATTCCACTCTCTGACATCCAGTGCACATCAGTTCGAGGTCTGACCTCTTGTTTAGCAGCAACTGGGCCCATCTGATCAGTGTGAAAAGGAATGGAATGAAGGTCTGAAAAATTTCCCTCTAACTTAAAATGCCCATACATGTGTGGGTAACAGGCTGTTCCTTTTCGTACATACTATTAACTTTCACTGATTATACTGCAAAGACTGGTGGCAGGGAAGTGCCACTGCAAAGCCCAGAGCTATGGCTACACTTCACTGGTTTTGTTTCTTCTGTAAGTATGACATGCAGCCATAATCCATAGCTCACCTTTACCTGAGGCTCTGTATTGATCTCCACCAGTGTTTCTGAGGAATTCAGCCAAAAAATGCCCAAAGTCCTGCCCTGTTTGTGGGCCAGGAGATAAGGCACAGAACCATAAATTCCCTTTTTGTCATATATTTTATATCCATAGACATCCAGGTTATAAAGGCGGTAAGCATCCCCATCACTGAAACACACAAGAAGGATTATCATCAAAAGTATATTATTAAGGAATAGTATAGCTCCATTCTCCCCTGCAATCACTTGGATCCTATGCATTTTTCAAGGCTCAACCTGACCACTTCCCTAAAAGTTTCCTGATCCAAGCTGGGTGAATATAATCCTCCTTTTGTGATTCCTTTGGCATCCCCTCATGTGGCGATTGGCATGCCTTAAATCTTAAATCTTAAGTATCTTTTCTGAATATCTCTTGTGAGGTGAGGACTCTTTCCTATGAATCCTTTACAACAGCAAGCACACAATAAGTATCTCTGACAAATTTTGTATTTCTCTGCCGCGAAAACAAAATGATAGCGTCCTAAGGTGCTTCCACAGCGCTCAGTAGGAAACCTGAATTGGGGCGGGGAGCACAGAGCTCAGGTTGGTGTAAGAGCAGCACGGTTTCAGATGCACTTGTCACTAGGACTGCCTGCCATTTACACAGCGCCTGAACCTGGCAAACTTGAGTAGACTGTTTCTCTTTGATTTTGCTTCCTCTCACTCTGATGCCTCTGGCATTTATTTGTCAATAGTGTTAGTTTGAAATGATTCTCCCTGAGGGAATCAAAGGTGACATGATATGCCACACTTTTCCATTCTCTGGCTCACTGTCCTTTTTTGATAAAAGCCTTTTTTTTTGTAGGTCAGTGATTTTCACAGTGTATTTTCCCAGAGTTCCACAGAAAGGCCTTGCGAGCTGAGGGCAAAACCTAGGAGGTGATGTGATGAAAATCTGCCCCTCTTCCCCAACGTCCCCAACTTCAATCCTAGCAGCTCCATATTTTTACTTCCTCTATATTTTTAGGTGCAGCATTACAGTTTTTATAATTGCCTAATTTTTGCCAAGTAAAATAAAATAAAAATTGAAAGCCAATGTTTTGAGCAATCATTCAAGAAAGACTCTTAAAGATTTATAAGCAATGTCAAGGAGGAAAAGGCCAGGCACATATTAGCACTGCTTCAGACATCTCACATTCAATTTTTTCCAGTCCAGAAACCAGAACCTCCTGTAAGAATTCGTTTTTACTTTACCTAGTATTTTTAAGTTGGTGTGACTCTGCATGTTGCGGGATCCCATAGAGATACTCAAATCCATGCAAGGAGAAATCCAAACCAATGGATGTAGGACCTGTAGGGACCAGGATATTGACTGAGTTTTGCTTTTCCATGAAATAATCAATTAAGGAGATTCAGTTAAGTAGGAGTGTAGCAAGATGACTAGACTAGGGATCGAGAGACCTGAGCTTGCCCTGATCAATCAGTATGTCATGTGTGCTGACTATGTAAGATGTTATATTCAGCTGTGGGGATACAAAAATGCACAAGGCAAAGTTCTGGTCACTTATGAGTTATGTTCCCCTACCTGTGTGCTGAAGCTCTGTGTCTTTATTTATAGTAAATCTCTCTCTCTCTTTCTCTTTTTGTGGAAGTAAAGTAAGGATAAGTTTATTCAAGCAGCGGAGAGGCAAGAAGCAGGCTACTCCATAGACAGAGCAGCCTAGTAAATCTCTTCTATCCATAAAATATGGCTACAAAGTTTAGATTTTTTCCTAATCTAAATGTTTCTAAAATATATTGCATACTTCTTTGATTTAGAAAGCAAAGAATATTGAGCAATTTTCATTTTCATTAGATGAAGGACTGGGTGTCTTCTGTTTGATGGTTTATTCTTACTGTGTCCAGGGACTATAATGTCAAGAGCACCAGGAGGACCTTTCCTGGCTCCTCAAAATACCCTCTGATTGTAGATATGTAAGTTTCTTTTCACCAAAGTCCTTTATTTCCCAATTATTTTAGAGATATGGGAGAAATGTAAGTAACGAGGAGAGATAATGACGACTTAAATTCACTCTTAGGTTAAAGTATTCGACATCAAATGATCCTTCCTTGGAGGAGTTTATGGAACAGAGGTGCTAATGAGACGGTAAAAAAAGATTATGACTTTACAGGAAGGAGAGACTGAGGGCCCCTGCTCATAAATTTTGGGCATGTTGTCAGTCCTGATGGTACACTAGGCTATACAGATGCTAGAACAGGGATTCTCAAGGCGTTAGGAAGGGTCTGTCATTCTACAGGGTAGGGAGGAGGAAGGAAGCAAGTATTTGTCCAACCATTTAAGCCCCAAGTATATGAAAGGTATCTCCTAAAGAGACAAACTCTGCATACACATCCCCCTCTTCCCACTATTGCTAAGCTTAGGGAGAAACGTCCCAGATAGGCATGTGATGCTCATGGGAATGATGGGGAGCCCTGGAAAAGGTTGAGAACCACTGGCTTGGAATGTTGGAGCTGATGAGCTCTAGAACTTAGTTTCTCATCACTTGACTCATAAAAATAGCATGTGGAGTTTGCAGCTGTGTGATATTCTAAGTAGTGCAAGCGTGCTGACTTAGGCCCCTCCGTGAGACCATAAGTTCCGTGGGGCCTACATTTCTCTTATATTCCCCACAAAAGGTATATAATTACTATTTCTTTGTTGCAGGGGACCCAAATCTGAGATTTCTGTTCATCTTATAGAAGTCACTTCTTTAGGTGCCAAAGCTCAAGGGACTTTTGAATAGAGACATTTAGCCATTTGGGAAAGAACCGTTTTAGCACTATACCAGTTTTGATTTTACCGTTAACTTTAACGTCCACAAAATTTCTGAATTTCTCCTCCCACAGGCCCAGATCCTCTTGTTTTTGCTGTTGGCACACAAAAAAGAGCAAATTGAGTTTATATACTGTAACTAATGTGGTTACCACAATAGCCCATTTTATTTGGGTTACTAAAAAAATTAAGAGAAAATGAGTTCATATTTTAAAAGACCAATTTGTGATGTCAGTATATTTCACAAACTGGATGCATTCTATATAAATGCCAATAATCATCCTTATGAACTACAGCTGACATGACTGTTTTTTATTGTGATAAAATATACATAACAAAAAATTTATTATTTTAGCCATGTCTAGGTGTACAGTTCAGGGGTATTAAGTACATTCATATTGTTGTGTAACCATCATCACCATCTATCTCTAGAACTTATACATCTTCCCAAACTAAACCTCTATACCCATTAAACAATAACTCCCATCCCTCCCTTCCCCCATCTCCTGGCAACCACTATTCTACTTCCTGTCTCTGTGAATGTGACTGCTTTAGATATCTCTTATAAGTGGAGTCATATAGTGTTTGTCCTTTGTGTCTGGCTTACTTTACTTAGTATAACGTCTTCAAGATTCATCCATTTTGTAGCATGTGTCAGGATTTTCTGCCTTTTTAAGGTTGAGTTATATTCCATTGTATGTATGTATCACATTTGTGTATGCACTCGTCTGTCAATGACACTTGGGATTGCAAGATTGCTTCTACCTTTTGGCTCCTATGAATAATGCTGCTATGAACATAGGTATACAAATATGTCTGAGTCCTTACTTTCATTTTTAAATATATATCCATAAATGGAATAGCTAGATCCTATTGTAATTCTATGTTTAATTTTTTGAGGAACTGCCACACCACTTGACATGAATATCTTTGCAGGAGACAAAATGATGTGAAAGCACTTTGAAAAATGCCATCTTTACATATGTGATATTTTTATTCTTTTTTTCCTTTGTAAACTTGTGAGGCAAAACATTTAGAATCAAGTAACTGAGGTCTGTTTTGAGAGACCCTAAGCAAAGATTTTGGCTGAGATGTGCACTTGCTCCCCTGCTTAATTAGCTAAGCTACTAGCTATGTTCCTGCTGGCTTGAGAAGTCAATTGGGATGGTGGCTGCTCAGGTTCATAATTTTCTGATCTAGAGCTATGCACTTTTTCAGCTTTATAAATGTCTCCTATTCTCTGGTAGAATGAAAAATTGTATTCTGTTTGTGAAAGGTATATTTATTTTTTACAAATGAACCCTTCACCCATTTCTAGGTTGTTTCTTCATAATTAAAGCTTCTGAGAAGTGAACCTTTTTTTTTTTTAAATCACACTTGAATTCTTAATGTAGGGATTATTATCCTGGGGTCTATGGATGGGCTTTAGAGTCTTCGAACTCCCTCAAAACAGTTTGAAATTTTTTTTTTCCTACAGAGATCGTACATAGCTTTCATCAGATTCTTGTAAGTGATCTGGGACTCAAAACCACTATCTAAAGTATCTAATTAGAGGTTTGACACATTGTCACGAAACTGTGTAAGGCTATGTCTTAGTTGTTCTGTCTTCCATATTTGAAAATGGAAAAACTATTCTTTCTCACACTTAGTGTGGGCTAGCTCTCAAGAGGAAGATGCATTTGCCCTTACTGCACTGGAAATATTTTTCACCATTCCTGGTGGCCATAGTTACTTTCAGGGCTCATTTGAAGATGCATGTGGCTTTGGATAAACAGAAGATTTCTAGAATGTCCATTCTCCATAATTCAGTCAAAATAATCTTTTAAAAACAGGAATCAAACCATGTATCTCTGGCTGCTTAAAACCTTTGCATAGCTTTCTTTTGCTCTTAGGTTAAAGTCCAAAAAGGTTAACATGACTTAGAAGAATGTAAGCTCCATGATATTGGGGGTATTTGATTTGTTCAATGATATATCACCAATTCCTTGAACAGTGCCTAGCATAGGAGGTCCTCAACAAATTACTGTCTCCTCATGCATCAATTTCAGCTTTAACATTATTTCCTTTAGGAGGTCTTTCCTGACCCTCATCTTGGTCAAGTTCCTTGTGGTAGTCTCCTAGAGCACCCTTTTGTAGCACTTCTTATGCTTGTAATTATTTAGTGCCCATCTTTCCCAATAGAGTCCAAGTTTCATGAGGACACATTGGGATTGCTTTATTCACTGCTGATTCTGCTTGCCTCGCATAATATTTTGTGGCTGGCACAAAGCAGGTATTCAGGAATTACTTGTTTTATAAACGAATACATACACGAATGAAAAATGAATGAAAGAATCAATGAGATGATAAGGCAATCAAAAGAGACATGTGGTCCCATTTATATGTAGTAGAGCATTCATCAAGTACACATCCATAGAAGAAGGGAAGAGCAAAACCCATTATATGCCACATATTGATGACAGTGGTGAAAAAGATTAAAAAAAGACAAATTGTTCAATTTAGATTACCTGAGAGGTGTCAACTGATGCATCCTCTTCATTTTCTTTGGTAGTTCTGTTTTAATATAAATAAAGTTGTTTCATGTATGGCAAAACTAACAGAATTTTGTTTAAGGATAAAGATTTTCATTTTCAACTTTTGAGACCCTGTAAATTATGTCCTTTAATTAAATATCATTATAAAAATAAGTTTGTGAAATTGAACATTTATGAACATTAATCAAATAGCTTGATTTCTTATAAAAATGTAGACATATGTGAATTTTCTTAACCCTTTAAAAATCAGTTTTTGGGCTGGCTGAGTGGCTCAGTTGGTTAAGAGTTGGCTTAAGAGCGCAAGCTCTGAGCAACAGGGCCACCGGTTTGATTCCCACATGGGCCAGTGACGCTGCGCCTGAGCTAAGCTGTTGCTGAGCTGCCAACAGGTGGCAGGATGGCTCAGCTGGTGTAACAACAAGATTGCCTGTTCAATGGTGGGCTACGCCCATCCATAATTAAGACTGAACACAGCACCTTGACCTTAGAGGCCACGAGCTGCTGATGGGAAGCCAGATGGTGACTGCCGCCCTCCACAACAAAGACTGAAGAACAACAACTTGTCTGTTCCCCTTCCCTGATTCCCCAACACTGTCCCCCTCCCCCAATTCCCCAATAAAATCTTTAAAAAAATAAAAAATCAGTTTTTATTATAAATATAATACATGCTCATAATGTTAAATAAACATATAAGCAAGGCAGAACACAGCTCCCCTCACCCAGTATTACCCTAGTATAGACAGCATAATGAACTGCCTTCCAGAATGATTGTGATTAACTTACTATCATCCACAGTTGTATTTGAATACTCATTTCTCCCTATTAACAATACTTGACTTCATGGGTTTTTAAAAAATGTTTGCCAATCTTAAATTTTATAAAAGATAATGCATTTCAATTTGAATTTCTATCGTTAACGATGTAGAATGCCTGTTCATACAATAAATGGTATTCCTATTTCTTCTTCTTTGAATTGTCTATTCATACTCATACATTAATTTTTTTCTGTAGTAAAGTGCAGCATGTATATAAAAAAGTACATAATGTATGTGCAGAGTTTAAAGAGTAATACTAAAGGGAACCACTATGAACCCACCAGTGAACATAAGCAACAGGAATGACTTGTTCCTTTGGAGTTCCCGCATGCCTCTCTTCAAATGCATCTGCCTCCTCTCCCCAGCCTCCAGAGGTAACCACTTTACTAAATTTTGTGTGAAATCATTTTCTTGCTGTTTTTTTATAGTATTGTCACAAGTGTATGAATCTCCAAATATTATTTGGTTTTGCCTTTTTAAAAGCCTTTTATACAAATAGAGGTACACTGTATATATTCTTTCGTGACATGCTTTTTTTACTCAATATTAAAAACTTCGATATTCATCATATTAATATGCATTGCTGCAGTTTGTATCACCCATTTTTATTTGCTTGTTCTTTTTCTTATTGATTTGTATAGGTTCTTTCTATATTATACATATTTTTATTTCTTATATATGTTAAAAATTTTGGTGAAATTTGAGACAGCTGGTATAGTGCCTTTAATTTTTTTTAAATTAGTAAATTCGTTTTTTAGAACAGTTTTATGTTTACAGCAAAACTGAGCAGAAAGTGCAGAGTTCCCATATACCCACTATCCCCACACCCCCACAGTCTCCCCCACTATCAGCATCCTGCACCTGAGTGGTACATTTGTTACATTTGATGAACCTACACTGACACATTATCACCCAAAGTCCATAGTTTAGAGTAGGACTCACTCTTGGTGTTGTACATTTTGTGGATTTTGACAAATGTATAATGACTTGTATTTACCATTGCAGTAACATACAGAGTAATTTCAGTGCCCTAAAAACCTTCTGTGCTCTGCCTATTCCTCCCTCCCTCTACCTTAACCCCTGGCAACCACTAATCTTTTTACTATCTCCATAGTTTCCCTTTTTTCCAGAATTTCATATAGTTGGAATCATACAGTAGGTAGCTTTTTTCAGATTGGCTTCTTTCACTATGTGTTTAAGTTTCATTCATGTCTTTTCATGGCTTGATAGTTCAATTTTTTTAGGTGCTGAATAATATTCCATCATCTGAACGTAATGCAGTTTATCTTTTCACCAACTAAGGACATCTTGGTTGCTTCCAAATTTTGGCAATTATAAATAAAGCTGCTATAACATCCTTGTGCAGGTTTTCTGTGTGGACATAAGTTTTCAGTTTCTTTGGTTAATGACCAAGGAGCATAATTGCCGGATTGTGTGGTAAGAGTAGATTTAGTTTTTTTAAGAAACTGTCATCCAAAGTAACTATCACTTTCCATTCCCACCAGCAATGAGTGTAAGTTCCTTGTTGTTCCACATCCTCACAAGCATTTTGTCGTCAGTGTTTTGGATTTTGGCCATTCTAATAGATGTGTAGTGGTGCCTTGTTTTAATTTGCAATTCCCTAATGATATATGATGTTGAACATCTTTTCATATACTTACTTCCCATCTGTGCATCTTCTTTGGTGAGGTGTCTGTTCAGGTAGTTTGCCCATTGTTTATTTTCTTATCATTGAATTTTAAGAGTTCTTTGTATATTTTGAATAGCAGTCCTTTATCAGATGTGTCTTTTGAAAATATTTTCTACCAGTCTGTGGCTTGTTTTCTCATTTTCATGACATTGTTTATCACAGAGCACTATTTTAATAAAGCCCAATTAAAAAAAAAATTGGGGAATTGGGGGAGGGAAAACAGTATTGGAGAATTGAGAAAGGGGACCAGCCAAGTTGTTGTTCTTCAGTCTTAGTTGTGGAGGGCACCAGTTGCCATCTGGCTGCCAGTTGGCAGCTCATGGCCTCTAAGCTCAATCAAGGTGCTGTGTTGAATCTTAGTTGCAGGTGGGCGTAGCCACCATCCCATGTGGGAGTCGAACCAGCAGCCTTGTTACTGTTGTTTTTAAATATTTTATTGGGGATTTGGGGAGGGGGACCAGCCATGTTGTTGTTCTTCAGTCTTCATTGTGGAGGGCGCCAGTCGCCATCTGGCTGCCTGCAGCTCGTGGCCTCTAAGCTCAAGGTGCTGTGTTCAATCTTAGTTACGGGTGGGTGTAGCCACCATCCCATGCGGGAGTGGAACCAGGAGCCTTGTTGTTAAGAGTCACGCTTTATCCACAGCCATTCGGGTGGCAGCTCAGCTCAAGTGCTGAGCTCAATCTTAGTTGTGGGTGGGTATAGCCACCATCCCATGCGGGAGTTGAACCAGCAGCCTTGTTGTTAAGAGTGCACACTCCATCCACTGAGCCATCCCGATGGCAGCTCAGCTTAAGGTGCCGAGTTCAGTCTTAGTTGCGGATGGGCATAGCCCACCATCGAACAAGCAATCTTGTTGTTACACCAGCTGAGCCATCCTGCCACCTGATGGCAGCTCAGCGACAGCTCTGCTCAGGCACAGCGTCACTGGCCCATGTGGGAATCGAACTGGAGGCCCTGTTGCTTAGAGCTTGCACTCTTAAGCCAACTCTTAACCAACTGAGCCACTCGGCTGGCCCCCTGGCAGCCTTGTTGTTAAGAGCACACGCTCTATCCACTGAGCCATCCGGGTGGCAGCTCAGCTGAAGGTGCCAAGTTCAGTCTCAGTTGCAGGCGGGCATAGCCCATTGAACAGGCAATCTTGTTGTTTGGAGCACGTGCTGTCACCAGTTGAGCCATCCTGCCACCTGCTGGCAGCAGCTCAGCGGTAGCTCAGCTCAGGCGCAGCATCGCTGGCCCATGTGGGAATTGAACCGGTGGCCCTGTTGCTCAGAGCTTGAACTCTTAAGCTAACTCTTAACCAACTGGGCTACTCGGCTGGCCCCCAATGAAGCCCAATTTATCAATTACTTCTTTCATAGATCATGCCTTTGGTGGTGTATCTAAAGAATCATCACCAGGGCCAGGTGAGTGGCTCAGTTGGTTAAGAGTTTGCTTAAGAGCACAAGCTCTGAGCAACAGAGTCACTGGTTCGATTCCCACATGGGCTAGTGAGGTTTGCCCGAGCTGAGCTGCTGCTAAGCTGCCAAGGCTCAGCTGGTGTGAGCATGTGCTCCTAATGACAAGATTGTCTGTTCGATGGCGGGCTAAGCCCATCCACGGCTGGGACTGAACTGGGCACCTTGAGCTGAGCTGCCACCTGGATGGATCTGTAGATAGAGTGTGCACTCTTAACAGCAAGGTCGCTGGTTCGACTCCTGCATGAAAAAAAAAATCATCACCATACCCAAGGTCATCTAGGTTTTCTATGTTATCTTCTGGAAGTTTTACAGTTTTTCATTTCACATTTAGGTCTAAGATCCATTTAGAGTTAATTTTTGTGAAGGGTATAGTCTGTGTCTAGGTTCATTTTTTTGCATGTGGATGTCCAGTCATTCCAGACCATTTATAGAAAATAATATCTTTGCTTCATTTTATTGCCTTTACTCCTTTGTCAAAGATGAGTTCACTATATTTATGTGGATGTATTTATGGGCTCTCTCTTTTGTTCCATCAATCTATTTGTCTGTTCAAACACTCAATGCCACACTGTCTTGACTGCAGTAGCTTTATAGTAAGTCTTGATGCAGCACAGTATCAGTCCTCCACCTTTGTTCTTCTCCTTCAACAGAGTTCGTATTCTGGGTCTTCTACCTCTCCACATAAACCATAGAGTCAGTTTGCTAATATCCACAAAACAACTTGCTGGGATTTTGATTGGAATTGCATCAAATCTGTAGATCAAGTTGGGAAGAACTGACATTTTGATAATAATATTGGGTCTCCCTATCAATGAACATGGAACATTCCCTTTTTAAGTTTGTAAAGGTACGTTTTATGACCCAAAGTATGGTCTTGGTGAATGTTCCATACGAGCTTGAGAAGAATGTGTACCCTACTGTTGTTGGGTGAAGAAGTCGACAGATGTCAATTATATGCAGTTGATTGATGGTGCTGTTGAATTCAACTACGTCCTTATTGTCTCTCTTCTGGGTTTGTCCATTTCTGATAGAAAGTTGTTAAGGTCTCTAATTATAATAGTGGAGCCACCTATTTCTTCTTGCAGTTCTATCAGTTATGCCTCATGTATTTTAATGCTCCATCATTAGGCACATGCACATTAAGGATTGTTATCTCTTCTCAGAGAACTGACCCCTTTGTCAGTATGTAATGCTCTTTTTTTATCCCTGATAACTTTCCCTGTTTGAAGTCTGCTCTTTCTGAAATTAATATAACTTTCATTTTCTTTTGATTAGTGTTAGATGGTATTATCTTTCTCCCTCTCTACTTTTAATTATATGTGTCTTTATATTTACCATGTGTTTTTCATAGACAAGTCTAGGGTAACTCATGTTATTGTAAGGGGGTAAAGAGAAATTCTGAAGATGTTAGTATACATTAATATTTATCAAATCAACAGAGTGTTTTTTAGAAGGGTGCAGAGGGTAGAGAATGCCATCAATCAAACACACAGGATGTGTTAAGAGTGTCACATTTGCAGAAGTCTGGGAATCATTCTTGTTATCAGGCCTGCATTCACCTGCACAGGTGAAAAGACAAAATTTCTAATATTCCAGCAAATAAGGCAAACAAATTTTCTATGGTGATATATCATCTATTTAGGCAACTGGTATTCACAATCAGGCTTAAGTTCTTTATGTGTCAAGTAATGTGCAAAAATACCTTTGCTTGAGAGGAACCTGCAGATGCTCAAAGTATAATTGGCCTAGCAAGTTTATGTTCATCACAACCTCTTCTTCAGACACCAAGTCAACCTTGAATGGGTTTGCTGTGATATGACACTTAAGATTTCCTTTTCCATCTGCTAGTACCAAACTGCCTGTATCCCCAGAGCATGAAAGCAGCCTAGAAAATAAAGAGGAAAGAGAAAACTAAATTGCTACAGGTTTACATGGCTGAATGTGATTTTCAATTCAAATTAATTAATTAATTAGTAAATAAATATTCATTCATGTGACATGGCATAGACAAGACATAATTGAAAGCATAAGCTTTGGTGTCAGAGAGCTTGGATTGATCTTAGCTCTACCACAAACTAGATGTATAACTTTGGAAGTTAATCAATCTTTGTAGTTCTTGGTCTCCTCATCTGGAAAGTGGAAATAAAAAAGCAAGAACAAATAGAGCCTTTTGAGACAATTAAATGAGATCACACATGTTAAGCACACTTGGCACATGCCTGGCTCATAATAAGCATTCAATAAATGTTAACTGTCATCATCATTACCTTGGTCTGGAAAGTCTAGTAACACTTTGGTGCATAGAATCTAAACCCTTTTCTTTTCTTTCTCATTCCAACCATACTCAGAAACTGAGGAAATAACACAGCTTGAGTTATTGACCCACTGAGTCCACAGTGAGATGGAACCAGGCCAAACTTTTGTTTATCACCTGACTCCTATCAGCCCCAATATGACAGTCTATTCAAGATAGACTGTTAGAGTGTTTTGGATCCCCGGGAATTACGTACGCTCAGAGGCAATAAAAATCTCTCACAGGTCTAGATAGTTCTTTCTCTGGTGCATAATCTCCATGGTAATGGTCACAGACCTTTTTGGGAAATGTCAGGAGGGATAGTTTGTGTTCTTATTATATCCTTAAAAAGTCCTTCTCCGTGGATTCCAGGTCTCCCCCTCAAGCAAGATGCTTAGGTTCTGGAAACTAACTCTGTCTGGAGTTTGGAGGTTGTGTCTCACTGTTCATCAAATCTAAATAGAATTCTTTTGATTATTTCATCAAGTAGGACTTTAATCCATCTATTTCAGCCTAATGGACTCCTCAATATATTGCTCACTGTGCTGAGAGTTCAATCATTTTGAGTACCAGAGGCCCTGCTGCACATTGTAGAAACATGTCCACCTTGTCTCTAACTAAATACTGCTACTTTGACTCTGCCACCTGGAGTCTCATCATCTCTACTGAAAACAGGGAGCCCATTTCAATGGCATCATTCCCCACCATTATTGCTAGCTTGCAAAAGATGTTCACTCACTACAGTGCTTTCCAAGTGTTCCCTCACAAATGTATTTCTCAATGAAGAGAGTATCTTCTGGATCAGTGGATCTCAACCTTCCTAATGCCGTGACCCTTTAATACAGTTCCTCATGTTGTGGTGACCCCCAACCATAAAATTATTTTCGTTGCTACTCTATCACTGTAATTTTGCTACTGTTATGAATCGTAATGTAAATATCTGATATGCAGGATGTATTTTCATTGTTACAAATTGAACATAATTAAAGCATAGTGATTAATCACAAAACTAATATGTAATTATATATTGTGAAATATTTATTTCTAATTACAAATAAACAAAATTTTGTCTTGAAGCATGGAGACGGATAGAGGAGCGGTGTCTCGGTTCCTAAGACCATCGAAAATATGTGTTTTCCGATGGTCTTAGGCGACCCCTGTGAAAGGGTCATTCGACCCCCAAAGAGGTCGCAACCCACAGGTTGAGAACTGCTGGGCTAGATGAACTGGTTGCATATCAACTTCAACATCTTTATATCCCTAAGTCTATGGATCATTTCTTCTACACTGTGCCAAGGAATTTCTGGTATCTCAGCTTCATTCAGCAGAGTCCATAGCTGAATACAGAAAACAGTTAACCAAGCAAATAATTAGAGCCCCTCTCAGCTTTCCAAGCTAGCCTATCACATCTAGACTCTCTGGTACACAGATTATGTTAATAAGTTGAGTGTGATCCTAAAATTATGTGCCTTCCTTCTGGTCCAGGAATCCCCCAGAAATCACTTCCATGCATACTTCCCAGGTTTTTACCAATATACAGTCTTATAACTCTTTAAGGATGCAAGCCTTCTTCCCCTGAGTTTGGGTATAACTGGCTCCCAAGGCATGTTGAACTCTGATTCTGATCTTATAGTGGGTGTGGAGGCAGTGAACGGTAGTGGAGGTGAGACACAGGAGCACTGGAATCCCCTTACATGGTATATCTTAGGTGAGGTCAACACAGGGTGTCCAAGCAAGCAAGGTAGGATCAACTTCATCAGACACAGGAGAAAGAGATGCTTCTGTTGGAGTGGGAGGCTCAGTGGAATTTTAAAGTTGTACTCAGAGTTATCAGAATCTTCCCAAATATTGCTATTTCAATTTTGAGGAGTTCTACCTTTTCCCAGTTAATGCCCTAAATTCACAGATCTGATGAGATTGTGAATTCAACTTACGGCCTGATTCAGCAAACTATAATATTAAACTCTGTTATCTAATTTTCAGCTACAAGGAAAAGTCCTTGTAGTTAAAACAGATATTAAGAGATTTTTTAGGACTATCAGAGAAACCTATGAGGTTTCTGACAATGCCTTCAGCTAAGAATTTAAAGCCCTGAGACTGCTGTTTTCTTTAGGTTCTTCATAGCAGCCAGGCCACAGAATTTTGAATTCTGTATCACAATCATGCTGTGCTGTGGTTCCACCCATTGGTCTGCCAGAGCCATGCTTTCAATAGGCACTTTATTTCAGTTGTCCACAGGTAGTAATTTAAGTAACTTTGCCATGGAATGCCATGGTTTATTACCAGTGGTATTAGTTTGCTAGGGCTGCCATAATAAAATACCACAGACTGGGTGGCTTAAACAACAGAAATTTATTTTCTCACAATTCTGGAGGCTGGAAGTCCAAATCAAATACCAGCAGTTTTGGTTTCTTCTGAGACCTCTCCTTGGCGCAAATGGCCATCTTCTTGCTTTGCCCTCACATGGTCATCCCTCTGTCTGTGTTATGTGTCCTAATCTCCTCTTCTTACAGGACACCGGTCACATTGGCTTAACCCACCCTAATAGCCCCATTTTAACCCAATTATCTCTTTAAAGTCCCTATCTCTAAATACAGTCATACTCTGATTTACAAGGGGTTAGGGCTTCAGCACATAAGTGTGACAGGCGGGGGTTGGGGGGATACAGTTCAGCCCATAACACTAATATCTCATCCTCTAATGATAATCAGGTCCTCACTGCCTTCAAATCCAACTAGATCAGCTAACCACCCACATATTCCCATCCATGAGGATCTGTTGCCTGTACTCACTTCTGAAACCAATGACTATATCAACCAAGACTCAACTGTAGATAACAGATACAATTGGCTATTTTAAGCAGAAAGTAAATCACTTAATGTGGGGGAGTTAGGAACTTACAACATCATGGGAAGGGCTGAGGTAGCAGCTTCCTGTGTGGGTGTTCGGTGATGACCCCAAGAACAATACTGCATAACTGTATGGCCAATGCAACTTCCATCTCAGCTAGAATCAGGAAGTTGGGTAATTAGAAGTAGCTGTGGCAACTGCTGGGCTCCAGGATAATGCCACCTTAGCTATCATCTAGAGATCAGGAAACCATTGCCCTAACTAGTGTGGCTCTAGAGCCATTCTACAGCTGCCAAATCCATACCAGCAAAATGGGAAGCTCAGTTCTGAAATCAAGATACCTGTAAGTGCATCTGATTGGTGGAAACTGAAGGAAATCAGAAACTAGCTACATGGAAGTCTGCGAAATGGAGAAATGTGTAATAGTTTTTCTTTTAGATTTCTAGCTACTTCAATAGCCAAAAGCCCTCTAGAAAGAGATTGGAACAGAAGCAGAACTAATATATTGCATTTATTACACAAAGTTAATATCACCTTGACTTCAAAACACAGAAAAGATAGCACTGAAAAAAGGAAAACTACAGACTAATTTTACTTATAAACACAGATGTAAAAATGTTAAATGATCTATTAATAAGTGAATCCTCCAGGATAGTAAAAAGTAATATATTGTGACCAAGAGGTGATATATGTATATGTATATATACACTCATTTGCCAAACTGCAAAGCCTTGAGAACAGTCTCTTTTTAATTCGTTTCCTAAATTCCTGACATGTAGTAGCAGCTCAGTAAATAAATATATTTTAAATTTATGATGGTTCTACCATAACTGAATTAATTTCTCCTTATAATCTATTGATCTTTTATTTTCATGGAAATAATGCAATTTATTTTTCATTGAAAAAAATCTGTATAAAACAGTGATAATGATGCAATAAAAATTAAAGCACCTGGCATAATCTTATATTCCCTTAGTGAAATAATATGAAAAAAAATAACAGAAATCAATAGGCAGAGAACCAGGTTGAAATATCACAGGAAAATGTGTTGAGAAGTGATATAGATTCTGCAGGTACATAAAAAATGTTTTAATCCTCAAAGATTTTTTTTCACCTAAATACTGATGATTAAATGATCTCTGATTCTAAATCAAATTACACGTTAGACTTCTGAGACTACCCATAATTAAAAGTGAGTCACTCTAACTGTATAAAGTACTGAGAGCATGGGAGTTTGGCTAGTGTATTAGATAGATCTCTGGAGCCCTGCTGCTAATCTGAGAGAATAAATTAAATAGCTCTCCTTCTACTTGTTCCCGAAAGTATGGTTAATAAACCGTTTTCTTTGTGAGAAGGAGAACAGGGATCAAAAGCTCTGGCTCTCCCCATTAATAAGTGCTGATGGATGAGTCAAACAGTGGATGAAAACAGAATGGATAACATCAAAATGGAAACTAACTCTGCAAATGACTGAAGCTTTGAACAGACTAAATATGAGGTTCATACAAATCTACTCAAGGTGTGATAAAATAACATATTGAGGGCACATTCAAGATATCTTGATCCTTGGCTTACCTTACAGTGCTTGGCTTACTTGTGAGGACATCGGGGACTTCATACCTGGGCTTCAGAGGAGTTTCTTCATTGATTTTAAGCCTGAAAATATTTCCCTCTATACCATAAACTTCAGCCAAAAGAGGAACCTGGGAACAGACATATGAGATTAGTTTCCACAGGTTATCTCAGTGATGGTCAGTTCTACAGTCAAATGACAATAATTAGAAAACTATTTAAATTTTTACAGGCCAAGCAAACTGGGGAATAATGGCAGTCATGAAGAAAAAAAGCTATCCAATTTACATACCAGGGGTGTCAAAAAATGTATACAAGTGGACACTTTGGTCAATGTTGCTCAAGCAATAGTTTGCCGTCATCAGAAGTGTTTGGATGCTGATGGTAACCATTTTGAGCACCTCTTGTAATTGCAGAAGTCAAACGTGACTTGTATTAATCTTTTGTTATCAGTACATATTAAGTATTATGATTTTAATACAGTTTTCCTTTCTTAAAATGTGTATACATTATTTTGGCACCCTCTGTATGTACTTGCTTAGCTATACCTGTGGTAGAGACAAGAAACACCTATGTGTTCTATGGTTAGGCAGACATATAATTGTCCAGATCAGGACCTTTAAGAGTGACAGGGGTCTCTATTAATGATATTGGATGACAGCTATAAACTGAAACTGCTCTTTGAAAATTGGGACATATGACCATTGCATCTCTGATAAACTACAGATATCTTGAGAATAAGAGTTTGGTGTTAAAACTATAGAGTAGCTGGATTCTGTCTGAATGAAAGATGAAGGGTAATAAGCCATAGAACAGAACAGACAGTAAAATGGTAGTCATTGGGGTTCTTTAGTGTAGATGAATAAGGCTTGCTGCTAAAATCAAGGTACTTCCAATACACTTGGGTATGTGGCCTGAAGAACTTTCTCAAGAGGTTGGGAAACGGAGTTAAAATTCTGCCTACAATGGGAGATGGAAGCATCATAGAATTATAAAGAGAATACAGAATTTGAAAAATAAGACACAAAACAACAAAACCTAAGAGAGTAGAAATGGCTGGGTTTAGCTTACAAAACGAGATATCTAGATCAGAGAAATAGTGTATGGCGTGGTTTTCAACTAGTGTGCCATGCCACACTAGTTGATTGCAAATTCTTCAAGTGTGATGCCAAATTCTGGTTAAACTGGGTACATCTAGTGTTACTATAGGGTCTGTTAAATAAAAGGCTAAGCTGGGTAGGCTGTGACATAGTCTAGAGCAATGTGGTACAAGGAACAGGAAGTAGGAAGAATGTCAAAGCAAAGCAGCACCAAAAAAACGATGTTACTGGAACCCTGCTTTTGGGAATATAGAAAAGTAATCAGGGCACACTTAAACAGTGACATGACACTGAAGAGTGATCTGGTAAATAGTGCAGTGGTCATGTTGCTTTTACAGACATTCTTAAGACAGGGTTATGATGTAGTAGTGATCATACTATAATTATTTTTCCCAGTTTTATTGAAATATAATTGGTATATAACATTGTCTAAGTTTAAGGTATACAATGTGTTGATTTGATACACTTACATACTGCAAAATGATAATCACCATTGCATTAGCTAACACCTTCATGTCTCATAATTGTCATTTCCTTTTTGTGGAGAGAACATTTAAGATCTCTCTTAGCAACTTTCAAGTATATAAGAGTATTATTAACTATAATCACTATGTTGCTCATTAGACTTCCAGAAGTTATTCCTCTTAAAGTTGGAGGTCTGTACTCTTTGACCAACATCTCCCCTTTCCCCCACCCCAAATCATACTGTAATCATTGCTTACATGTTTAATGTTTTTTATATTTGAATCACTCAAAGTGTGCCATCAGAATTCTAAATTTGAAAATGTGTCCAAATATAAAGCTGAAATCCTGTTAGATTATGTATTCTGTTCCAAATTAGACATAGATTTCCATTGCTCTCTCAAATTCAATTCAACTAACATTTATTTGGCATCTAATATTGGGATGTGCTGTTTGCTATGAATAGAAAGGATGGCTCAAGTCTTAAGGGGATTGCAATTTAGAGGGGACAAAACACATACATAGTAAACAAAGCATTTTATGTTGAGATAGAAGGACAACGGCAGTGCTATGGGAGAACAAGGAAGGGGAATATTAATGATGACTATAAGGAGAGGGGTTCTGGGGCATCTCCCTGGAGGAAGGGACTTGAGCAGGGACTATGGGTAGGCAAAAATGGGCAAGAACATGCTAAGCAGAGTGTACCGAGGTTGTCTGTCTATATATAATTAACAAATTGCATCTAGTTTATATACTCAGAGATCCTCCCATTTTTAGTAAAACAGCTTTCTTAAAAAAAAATTTTTTTAAAACAAAGACTGGTCTGTATACGTTCTGTTCTTGAGATTGCATTCCAGAAAGGAATCCTAACTATATGAAAGGAGGTAGCAAAAACCCTGCCGTTAACATAATGACCTTATGCAACCAAACACAAATCAGAGTCAAAGCCCCATTCTGTTGTGATTTTAACTTAATTAAGCAAACACATTTTTCCAATAGATAACCTTTTTTCAAGGTCAATATCTAGATTCATTCTGATCTCTTATTAACAACATAGCTTCATGTTTTAAGTACAAAATTTTCTTAGACCTTAGTATACATTTGCTCCTATGGTCTGGCTCGTGTTTTTAGTGGCTTAAAAAAAATTTTTTTAATAGGAGCAGACTCAGAAGTCCAATCAGTAAAGCTACTCGGGTTGAAGATAGTGGGGAGTGGCTCACAGCCCCCACCTTTAAGCCCTGCCTTCTCTCCCTGCATTGAGCCCTGAGACACTTCCACGGAATCCTCGGGGCTTTGTGGATGACAGTTCATAAACCACTTCTCTGGGCTTCTTAACTGCCAGCCATTGCCCAATTATTCCACAAAAGCCTTGCTCTGTCAAAAAGTCTGAAAATGAATGTTATATTCTTCTATCTAAAACATTAGGAACTTTTAGATAGTCCTGTTCTTCTCTAGGGAACTGTTTGGACATTTATTAAACAATAATACATAAATAAATTATCCATTCTCTTCCTACTATTAGTGATGACAATGAAAAAATGTTAAGAAGGTAAGTTACAGAAGTTAGATCACTTAAACTAAGAATTATTTAGTGTTAATATTTAGATAATAGTAGCAGTTACACTCAAATTGCAAGGTGGATCATATAAAATAAATGAAGAAACATATAACTAAATATTTTAAATGTGGTGAGACAGCATGGGTTTTACTGCCTTAAAAATATTTAAGATGTATAAATATCCCTACACGGAGATGATGAGATACATAAATCCTCAGAGAAAGAAATACATTTTGGAGGTTCCTTTTAGTACCACAAGTCTCTACTTGGTTTTTCATAAACCTTTATTCAGAGGCTTACCTCTCATAGTCTGAGAAAGAGTATTAATTCCCTTTTGTTATCTTATTTCTCCCATACTCAATACAAAACCTGGTAGTTTGTCATCCATAAGTTTAGATTTTTGGCCACATAAGCAAAAATATCAGATAGGTTGTAAAAATCATAGTGGTAGAAACACTCTTGTCTATGTATTCAAGCAGTGGATTGATCACAATTATATTAAAACAAAACTTTTTGTTCATCTACAACTGGGAATCACAACTAGTGTAGACTGACTGAGTTAACAAGCAGCCCTAGAAAACATATTTAAATGGCAGTGGGTATTAAGAAGGGAAATTATGACCCCATCAAGTTCTCCCTGATGGGTAGATCTTGCTTTTCCTCCAGCAGCAGGTCTCTCTTCTATGAGGAACAGTTAAGCTAAAAGGCCTAGAAGAGCAAGCAATGACCTCTTCTAGCTGTTGATCAAAACCTTCTAGGATTCAGAGAATGGTCTAAGAGTTCATTAAATTGCTATTGCTGTAGGCCACCAACTTCCTCTTCCACAGTTGCAGTCAGTCGGTTTATTGCAAGCACTGATTCTCTATGGCAAATGTTGGCAAGTTCATGCTGGACATTAGCCCATTCCCCCTAGACAATTAGCCTGTCCAGGTGTGCTTCTGATTGTTTGGCTAGTTTCCAAATTCAATGCCTGTTCCTGGCATTTCTGCAGAAATAATATTGGCTAACAAATGGTAGTTGTGCCTCATCCACTGAGGAGGTAGCTGGTTGGGCAAAGTCTCATTTTTATCAGGCTTAGATGAAGAGGCAAGAGTTAACTTCATGGAGATGCTCAGAGATTTCGCCACACCTTTAGAGAAGCTGCTAGAAGTGTTGTCTCTGTTGAAAACCTGCAAACAGGCTGCAAAAGAAAGTAAATATATTACCAAATGGTCATGAGAAAGCATCAAAATTAGCAATATAAAGCATGCCAAAGACAGGCCTGTGTTTTTTTTAGCTAGATTCAGAAGACAGCATAAATTCCTCTGCTCTGATGTCACAAGACTAGATTTTCTCTGTTTCTGAATCCAGGTCAAATTTTCACTGAAGGTAAAAAATTGATAATAGCTGAAAAAAAAAAACAGTTCTAAAAAAGCAATCAACACTTTACTGATAGCTCCTTTCTTTTTACATTTTCTTCTAGAAGCTTCTTTATCAAATATCTACCTGTTATTCTATCGTAAGAAATAGACAAGACTACTACACTGGGACCCTATGTGAGAAAATGTACACATCTGAACTTGCAACCAGCTTTTCTTCAAAGCCTAGATGTTCAGAGCATGGCCTGGAGATGACACTTAGGGCAACACTTGAGCTTGTATTGTAAAATTACTGTGTCCGAGGGAACAATATGTTTGCTACAGACTGAATTATTAACCCCCCAAATTCACGTGTTGAAGCCCTAACCCTCAGTGTGATGGTTTTGGAGAGGGGGCCTTTGGGAGGTGATTAGGTTTAGATGCGGTCATGACGGTGGAGTCATGATGGGATTAGTGCCCTTACAAGAAGAGACCAGAGAGTTAGCTCTCTCTCCACCATGTGAATATACAGTAGGAAGATGGAAGTTTATAAGCCAGGAAGAGGGTCCTCACCAGACACCGAGATTTTGGACTTCCCAGACTCCAGAACTGTGAGAAATATAATAGATCTCTGTTGTTTAAGGCGCCAGTCTATGGTATTTTGTTATGGTAACCTGAACTGACTAAGAATGTTGAATGAAGCTTGGTTCTGTTTCCTGGTTGCTTATTAAGAGGCAGATTGGGAAAAAAGTTTTAAAAAATTAACAACAGAGCTTGCCAACAAAGTTACTGCTTTAAGGGTTTTAATGGTGGGAGGCAGGCAGGCACCAAGGGTGCTGGGTTTGTCAGAATCTGCCTCATCAGTGAAATCTGAGAACTGCAGCTGTGAACTGATTAGGATCTTCTTAGACTCGGGGCTTGTCTCTCTGAACCTGAAATAAAAAGCTGTCATTCTGAATAGGTGGATGTATGCAGCTTGTTTTAAATCTCCCGACCACACCCATACCATATCCTATTGTGAAATCACCTGGGAAACACCAATCCCAGAAACCACCTCTATTGGAGGCTCCTTGACTATGCACTGAGTGGGAGACAAGGTTCAGACCTTTAGCGATTAGTCTGGAACTTTGTTGTCCCTATCAAACTGACAGAGGACATGAAATTGTAAGTCCCTAATAGTCACCTCAAGTCCAAGTGACTAGGAGGTCATTAAAATGGAGTTCAGCTCAGAATTTCAGGGTGACCTCCCAAAACATATACATTTGCATGTATTTGCCTGAGATCAGAGTATGCAGATTCCCTAAGCAGCCCTGATATTTCCAATACCTGAAAATGGAGTCCGTTCCAAGGGGTCCTCAAAGTTCTCGGTCTTGAGAGCCATGTTGCTGACATCCTGGGTAACTTGCCCTTGCTTGTTGGGCCCCTCAGCTCCATTCTGGGCCATGTGCTGTCTTGTGCTGAGATCCCATAGGTCCCCCTGGACTGTGGCTTCTTTTCCTTTGAAGGCATCCAGATCTGGTGGGCTCTGTTTCTGGCATCTGATCTGAACAGCATTATCCCTCACAATTTCAGGATCCAGACAGGTGTGTGCAGGAAAGCTGATCTATAGTCTTGTAAAAAGCCATATGTGGGGATCTACCACTCACTACACTGGTATCAGGCTGCACTGAGAATCTGCATGTTGGCCCACACTAGTATGCAGAGGCCTTTTGCCTTATTTGCGTTGCCTTAGCATGTGTTGTCATGACACTGGATCATTCAGGTGGTGCTCAATATACTAAGCCTCCCCAAGGATGCAAAGGGATTCTTGCCTTGACCATGGAACAGCTACAAACAACTCTCTAGAGTTAGACACACTGGGGACAAGAAGGAAAATGAGCAAATGACAGAAAAAATGAGACGGGAAAGGCACCTGACATCTGGTAGCAGGCCTGATGACTCCTGGAAGGTCACTGGTGGACTCCTTGCATTTCCTGGAGTCAACTGCTTCTACTGATCCTGAATACAGAGGTTTGGTTGGGTGTCAGGCTATTATACCACAAGCAAATGGCAGGTGGCTCTCTAGGTAAAAATATTTAGTGCTACCCCATGTTTTCCTATGAACAGCTGTGAAACTAGTCTACAAAAGGATGTATAGTTTGGAAGACTTGGACCAGCAGTAGAGGACCTATGACTTCATGGTTACCATGAATTGAGAGCTCAAATGAGGCAAATTCCTCCAGAAAAAAAAATGTGTGATATAAGCAGCAGCACTAAGTTTTGGAGAAAGACTAACCATCCCATCTGTGTAGTTGAGAGGTGAACTAAATGTACTGTCACCATAAGTACATCCTTAAATAACCAGAAGTTGGGGACAGGGAACAGGGATAGGGAACATAGAACTGTTGATATGATTCTAGCCTCTATTTTGAATTCGGGCAAGAAGGCTGTTAGAAAATTCCACACCTACGAAATAAGCTAATCTCTCTAAAACTTCACAAGGGAGGTAGCCTACCTCACTGTGTAATTGCTCCTTCTGTCTGAGAATAAAGTTGGGATCCTTTGCTAAGTTAAAGGCCTTACAAATGCTATAGAGAAATCCCTGATGTTGTGGGGTAGTTTTTGTGCTGTTTTCTCTGAGGAGATCTCTCAGTGCAGCACTGCAGGGCCAGAGCTACGGTAGTCACAAGGAGAGCTCTCATAGCTTTGCAGTGAAAGTGGGGATATTTTCTCAGTCTGCTTCCCAGAACTGGGATTTGGTAGTGAGTTGGTGGAGTTACTGTTCAAGCTATTAGGGACCTAGACCACACGGTTCTAACTATGTCTTTCAGTTACATGAATTACCAATTAAGCCAGATTGGTCTGGGAGGCCTTAGACCAGCGGTTCTCAACCTGTGGGTCACGACCCCTTTGGGGGTCGAATGACCCTTTCACAGGGGTCGCCGGGTACTCGTATGTGGGTGTATCTGCATGTGGGCCTGGAGACGGATAGAGGAGCGGTGTCTCGGTTCCTAAGACCATCAAAAATATGTTTTCCGATGGTCTTAGGCGACCCCTGTGAAAGGTCGAGAACCGCTGCCTTAGACGCTCAGGATGTCTTTCAAAGATGGGGGAGGATCTGGAAGTGAGGGTCAGGTCGGGAGCATCAGGTACTTGGGCAGAGCCATACCTCCTAGCTCAGCCCACAGCACTTCCTCTATGACTGGCCCATGTGTATAGCCCAGTAGTTTGGTGACGACAGGTGAAAAAAAGAACTTAGGATATAGTACTGCTCTAATCTTTTCAGTATGCAATAACTATAGTGATCCGCTAGTGAAGCAGCTCAGGAGATGGAACATTTGTGACTTAGGTTTTTCAACTACATAGTCCCTTGCTCCCCTGGCCCACCCACATTTTAAGGTTTAGACATTCACTGGATCTGTACCATGCTCAGGCTGCATGCTCAACTGTATGCTGTGTAATAGTGACAGAGTATGGCTGCTTGATAGAGTCAAAAGATGCAAGTGAAAATTCTGGTTACCAGCTGTAACTAGTAAAAGATACTGATTACTGGCTGTGACTTTGAGCAAGTGACTTTTTAGACTTCAATTTCCTTATCTGAAAATTGGAGCTAATACAACATATGAAAACTAAAAGGAAATGACATTTGTAAAACATCTAGGAAGCATCTGATACACATGCAATCTGTAGTTGATATTCATATTATTTTTAAGTTAATATCAGTATAGACACAAAAAGATTACATTACTTCTCTAACAAAGTTTATTTTTAGAGCATACACAGTTTTAATTAGCCTTTGTGGAAATTTAATCATTCAACTCAAATAAACATAGAAACAAACAATTCTCTGTAGAAAATACTTCTGTCTCACCTTAGTTGCTTCATTGATGATTTGGAACTTGGTGCTATCTTTGTCTGTTGTGACTGAGTCTAGTAATGCCCGATAGGTGGACTTCTTGGACAGCTGCTGTTTCTGACGCCTACAGATAGGAAGTATACAGATGCCTCAGAATTATTTGTGACTGTCAGCATCCAATAGACTATATTATCATGGGGAAGTCATTAAAATTTCCTATGATAGTAAATGAATTCAGCACAGACAGTATTCTAATAAAGTACTAACAGTAGTACTTTGTTAATAAAGTGCTAATGAAATTAGTACTAATAAGAAAAATACTAATAAAATTGTTCAACATAACATTGCTCAAGGATGGTATTTTGTCCCTTTACTGAGAAGATGGGGCAGTTTTCATAGATGACAGTTATTAGCTTGTTAATTTTATTCCCTCTTTCCATGACATGTACACTGTAATAGAAACTTAATAAATTCTAGTGGAAATCCAATATAATCTAGTGGTTTAACAAGGTGACCAGGACTTCACTAAAGAATTCCCTCTAAGGTACTTGTTCAGAATGAAAATGATATGATTTTCTTCCTCTAGAGCAGTGTGAATAAATTAGAAAGTTGTAATATATGATACAATTTTTAGTGATTTCAATTTCAGGATCACATAAGGCTCTGGGGAAATAGGCAATCTTGCAATCTTATATAGTGGTGATGGAAGTAAAAAAATAATAGAATCCCTATGGAGAGATATCTGGTCATAGTTAAAATTTCAAATATATTTACTCTTTGACCCAGTAATCCCACTTCTGGAAATTCATCCTATAAATATGCTTGCATGTGTAGGAAATGACATATGTATAGCTTATCATTGTGGCAGTGCTATTATAGCAAAAGATTGAAAATGACTCAAAAGTCTAGGAGTATGAGAAAAACTGAATAAATTCTATCTACCCAATGGAATACTCTGTAGCTGTAAAAAGGGAGGACAATCTCCATATACTCATGCGGAGCGCTTCAGAATAAACTATGAAGCAGAAAAAAAAAAGAAAAAAAGAAGCACACAAAAAGCTACTGGTGTAAGAAAGGTAGTGATATAAGAATATTTGTAGTCACAAAAAGAAGTACTGGAAGGATTAACAGAAATTACTAAATCTGGTTACAAGGACAAGATGTCTAATTGGGCAGAAATGGGAAAGGAATAGAAATAATACTTTCAATGTACATCTTTTTATATTATTAATTTTTGAAACATGTAAACATATTATCTCTTCAAAGACATAAAATTTTAATATTAGTTTAAAAATACTTTGACTTTTAAAATAAAATGCCTGTTTACTGAAAAATTTAAATAATACAGAATAAGTGTATAAAGTTAAAGGAGAATGTCTTCTATCTGATAAATTCCTTAATCACTGAATTTCCTAATTGACTTTTTCCTTGAAAGCCTATGAGATCTCAAAAATTTATTAAACATCAGTTTTGAAATACTGTTAGAAACATTTTGATCTAGGTAATACATTTCCACTCTTTACCTATAGAAAGCAATCTTGCTGCAGTTTTTGAAAACGTCGTTATCCACAGCTTCATCTTCAACACTAAATAAACAGACATTTTAAGAAAGTTAATTCACATAGGGTTTGTGAATCCAATTTTTGTACCTTCTCTAACTATGGTATGAACATGGGAAGTAAATCTCTGCAATGCAAAATTGTGTCATGGTCATAACATAACATAATAACGTGTGCTGCAGAATAAGATCCTTTTGTAAATCATCCAAGGTAAACAACAAAACATCAAGTTCTGGGATTACTCTGAGCAATGGAAAAACGGCACTGTCACTTATGAGTAAGGATTCTTTTAAAATGAGTGAAGACTATGACTACAACAGTAAAATCGGAAGGAGCAAAAGTAAACAAAAACTCAAATCAAACAAACAAAAACAACCCACCCACTTATTTATTCAACAATATATTTTCAGAATATTCTTACTGAGTGCTGGGCCCTGAGCAAGATATGAAGGACTGTGTTCAAGATTTCTGTGAGAGCTTAACCAACAATCACAAATCAACCTGACAAATGCTATAATATAGGTATGTGCAAGGTGCCAGAATAAGAATAGAAACAGGTGTAGAAGAAATACTGTTAGCTATTTAAGAAGATGCTAAGTGAAATAAGTCAGACAGAGAAAGACAAATACCATGTGATCTCACTTATATGTGGGATCTAAAGAACAAAATAAATGAGCAAACTAAACAGAAATAGTCTGAGACATAGAGAAAAAATTGATGGTTGCTAAATGGAAGGGGGGTAGGGATGAGGAAGGTGAAGGGATTAGAAAGCACAAATTGGTAGCCACAATATTGACACGGGGATATGAAAGACAGTTTGGGGAATACAATCAATATTATAAAGATTTTGTAGGGTATTAGATGGGCACTTGTCTTATTAGGGAGACCGCTTCATGGACGGTGTAGATGCCTGACCACTGTGCTGTACACCTAAAGCTGAAGCTGAATAATATTGAATGTCAAATTTTATATATCTATATATCTATATCTATATCTATATATAGTCACAGAATGTGGAGTACAGCATAGGGAATTGAGTCAATGGAATTGTAATAGCTATATATGAGGTCAGAGGGGTAGTAGCTTGGGGAAGGGGGTTATCACTGTGAGGGGTGTAAATGTCTAACTATTACATTGTTTTTGTACACCTGAAGCTAATTAAAAAAAAAAAAAGAAGATGCTGACAACCGAGATATGTTTTTTAAGACCAACTTTCCAAAATAGCTGTTTTTGGAATAAACCATGAACAAGATGTATGTATATTGCTACTTGAGATTATGTACTTAACACATGCCCATTAAAACGACTAGAGTATAAGAAAAAAACATTGGCTTTCATGCAGAGGTGTGGCTGAATGCAGCTGTGGTCAGTATGTCCATGATTATTTAGGAAGCTACCACTGAACACCAATTTCAAAATACTATGAAAACAACCCCAGACAGATACACTCAGTCATACTACAAAGGCAATCAAATCCTTCATTGACTCAGTCTTTGTCGCTGTTTCTTTTAATCAAGTGTGTACAGATTAAAGAAATTTGCAGTCTTCTCTTGCCAGCTTTGAAGACTAAACTCTGGAATGATATGGGAAGAGGTGGGTATAGCTGAACTTGGTAAGCAACGTGCCTGAAATTCATGTGTTAGAGTTCTGATCACAACTTTTCCAATTTTGTTAACCATCCTGAAAGTATTTTATGAGGGTTTGGCTATTAATATGAACTAACACCTGGGGAACTGAGGGGAAAAAACGATAAGGATTATGTGCATAAATATAAAAACTATGCAAATAAGAAGTGCAATCAAACATTCGATAAAACCTTCAATGCCACAACCTGCAGGACCACTGAGCCTTTACCTGATTTCCTCCTTTTTGGCTGCTTCCATGGCTTACCAGTCACTTCACAGGCTCCCAGCTCTCAGGCCAAGGTCCCGTGCGATCTTTTCAAAACGCGAGCAGGCCAGGCTTCTAAGTTACCACCACCACTTCATCACCTTCAGGTTTCTCGGAAATGGGAAGTCCCCTTCAGGTCTTTAAGGAGACAAATCGACTCTTGTTTCTGGGTTTCCAGGCCCAAACAAGTGTTTCTATCGGGATTTATTTCGCATATTGTTCTTGGTGATGACTGGCTGATAAGGAACCGCTTTGGTTTGGAACCGAAACTGTCTTTGCAGCGGTGCGTGTACGCAAAGAGCCGTAGAGGATGAAAACTCAGGAGCGTGAGAATCAGGAAGTATCGAGATGGCCTGCCCGGTTTGGGCGAAGCTTCTGCAGGTCTAGCTCAGTGACAGTAACGCCATATATATGTAAATCTGATACACTCCCCCCGCCCCCCTCCGTTTTTAGCTTTGAGTGGAAAGGGCCGGCCGAGTCTTTGCTGGAGGTTTATGTTCTCCGGTCAAACTCTACGATAGCATCATACTTTTCAGGGCTAGAAGTGGCTTTTTAAAGAGGTTATCTATTACATCATCCAGTTTAGGAATCGCTTCGTCTGCACCACCACCAAATTCCATTCTTTGCTTAAATACCCCCGGAAACCGAGAACTCACTACTCAACGCCAAACAGCCAGCCAGACTACGGACTTCCCAGACTTTCAGTCCCGTAGTCTAACTTTGACTTGGAAGGGCTATAAGTGGCTGGAGTGAACGGAAGGAAGAGAGAGCCAAACACTACATACTCATAGGTAATCGCCTGGTCCCCAAACCTAAGGGCTGGGAGAGAGAAGAGCCGACCGAGGCAGAGGTGGCTTTTGGCGATGTTCCTAACTCTCCAAGGTGACCAGGTTACGACGAGACGACGCCTGCGTAGTAGGTCTAAAGCCTCACACTAAGCAGTGACATCTACCGGAAGGAGGGGCCGCTGAGTCGCAAAACAAACAAGCCTCGCGAGGTTTTGAGGACTCGGGAGATCCGGCCCCCTCCCCGAGAGCAGAGCCGGAAGAGGGCGGGACGAACCGGAAGAAGGCGAAATGCTTTCGGCAGACACTCCATGGCTGTGAAGATGGCGGCGGCTGCGTGGCTTCAGGTGCTGCCTGTTCTTCTTCTTCTTTTGGGGGCTCATCCGTCCCCATTGCCGCTCTTTGGTGTAGGACCGGCACCCGTCGCTGCAGCCGACCGATCCAAGTGGCACATTCCGATGCCGTCGGTGAGTGTTCCCGAAGCAACTGAGCCCAGAGGAGCAAGGGGTGGGGCTACGGCGGCCCAAGGAGTCCATGAAGGTTCCGCAAAAGTCCGTTTCCAAAGGGGTGGGATCTCCGGGAGCGTCTGTGTTGCTGGTTAACAGGGACCCATCTCTCGAGTGGAAAGCCGTGAAGTTCTTGTGGGTAGATTAGCGGAAATGTTAGGACAACTTCAGGAGCGCAGAGGAGTGTTGGAGGAACGGTTTCTTAGAAAAGTCGGAGAACTTTCAGTTCCTGACTGAGACGTGTAAACTTGGTGTATGAGTGGAGAGTGGTTCTTCTTCCAGCTGAAGTTGCACAGAATCCAGTGACTCAGGGTTGGATAAGAGGGATATGTAAATAGGCGTCTTTCTTTTCCCTCTGCACTTTTTTTTGTTACTGGATAATTCTACTTAGAAAGTTGTATGATTTCGTTTGAACTTTGAAATGATTCTTAAGCTTTGCTGCGTGATTAGGAAGTCTAAGCATTTAAAAAAATTTTTCGAATGCGAGAATGGCTAAAATGGAAGAAATAGTATTCTAAAATTTGATATGGTAAGGCTAGCCTTTCCTTTGGGCAGTTAACTAGAGTGGTTTACCCTTTCTGCCCCCTTCCCCCCTTTTAAACTTTGTCTGGGTAAGAGTTATAGTCCTGTGGGCAGACAAAAATCAGATGAAGGCAGGAAATGCTGAAAAGCCTTATTAGTTTTATTAAAACCACGATGGCCTTTTTGTTTCATCCTGTCCTGCTCACTGGTTATAATATCCAAATCTTGTTTGGGCTTTTATATGGCAAGCATTATAGCTTTCGTTCATTTGGGGAAGATCTTCAGGTCCTCAATTTTAGGTATTTACTTGTTACTAAAATAAGTTAAATCTGGCTATCTGCTCATAGCATAGTTTATTTGAAGAAATGATAGGTTATTTTGGACAGTGATTAGTGAGTAAAGGAGATGAACTGATTAAGGAGTATCTTCCATGAAGATTTAAGTTAAATTGAGACTTCTAGCAGCCTTCCTTCTACTGTCCTTGCCTCGTGGCCTGTGGGAAAAAAATGTACCAAGTTTCAAATCCTGCAGTTTGAATCTGGTTGAATTTTACTAAAAGGAATGCTATTGATGCCGTTTTTGTTAAGAAAACTAACTTGAACATTTCATAAATTTAGATTTTTATACCAATTATACTCTGCCTTGGGAATTAAAGTGACCTGATGCTAATTATCTTTCCTTTATCTTTGCAGGGGAAAAATTATTTTAGTTTTGGAAAGATCCTCTTCAAAAATACCACTATTTTTCTGAAATGTGAGTTTTTGCATTTCATGAAGTTTTTGAGTTTTTGAGTAATCTTTAAAGTTTTAAAATACCTGTTTTCTACTTCTGATGACTTACTCTCAATTTAAGTTCTGAAATTTAATAGTCCAACACAATCTAGGTATAAACATATGTAGATATAACTAAGGTCTTTTCACTGATCTTCAGAATGCTTATTTGTGTGAACTTTATTTTCTCATCTTGTTTTTTGGGTGTTTACTATATACAGTTGACCCTTGAACAATGAGGGACTTAGGAGCGCGGACTCCCTGCACAGTAGAAAAACTACATGTAACTTTTTTTTTTTTTTTAAGATTTTATTGGGGAATTGGAGGAGGGGAACAGATAAGTTGCTGTCCTTTTGTTCTTTAATCTAGTTGTGGAGGACGTCGCTTCACTGACCCATGTTGGTATTATCATTGTGTTCTTCCCGGCTGAGGCAGATCAGTCGCCAGCCACTGGACGGCGGCTCACAGCAGCTCACGAAAGCTCACACCAACTGCCGGCCAGCCCCACTGCAGCCTACGCTGTCGCTGGCGACTCACGGCAGCCCAGCTCCAGGTCAAGCTGTTGTTCACCACCTTAGCTGTAGAGGGCGCAGCGTCACTGGCCCTCATGTGGGATCTGAACCGGGGCCCTGCTGCTCAGAGCTGGCATCCCAAGCCAACTCTTAACC